ATTATTACTTATTAATAAATTATTATTATATTTATTATTATTTATACTTTTTTAACTAAATCATATAAAAAGTATGATTATATCAGGCAGCAACATTAAAACTAAGGAGATGTAATATAATGTAAATTTGTCTGATAGTGACCTGAAAAACATACTGGATGAAATAAATTATGAAAACTGTTGACCCATCTAACCCTGGTACCCTCCTCATCCTCCGTCACAGTTCAACACAAARAACTGGATTCTACTGAACAATTAAYCTCAGTTAATGTTTGACACTGAAGAACAGATCTGTTATGACACGTTCAGAACCTGCAGCRTTTATGAACACGTTTATTTCAACAGAGAAAAAAAACATTTTAAAATGAAAAACATTTAAAATACGATTTAGATTCTGAACTACAAACATTAGAAAATCAGCCTGGTTGCTTTTTATTAAACTAATCCTTTTTAATTCAACATTTACTGAACATTTTCAGTTTCTGATTGAATCTTTAGTTTGTTYAATCAACAGTTTTGTTTGCTGGAACCAACTCTGCTTCAAACACGCAGTCGATTTAAGGCTTTTCTAACTTTTCTCTGAACGTTTCACTCTCCTGTTTCAAACCTCTTCTTCATTTGGTGAAACTTTTCTCCACCTGAAGAAGAACATCGGCACAGCCTGGGTGCACCTTCATGTGATATTTGAGATGAGCGTTCTGATTAAAAGATTTTCCACAGTTTCTACAAACAAATGGCTTCTCTCCTGTGTGGATCATCGCATGTCGTCTACAGAGCCAACTGGACGTAAATTTCTTTTCACAGAATTCGCAAGAAAATGGCTTCTCCCCAGTGTGGAGCCTCAAATGATTGACTAAATGATTATAATCTGAGAGGTTTCTCCCACAGGTGGGACAACAATACATCAGTTTACCAGAGTCCTGGTTCCAGACTCTGTGGACCTTCACATGACTGATCTGCAGTGATTTCTCTAAAAACATTTCTCCACAGATCACACAAGGAAACAGCCTCTCAGATGTTGCTGATTGGTCTGCTTGGTTACCATGATGACCCTCTGTGTGATCCATCTTCTCATCTGACCCTGAATCCTGGTCCTGGTCCTCAGGTCCAGCAGAACTCTGAGAGATGAGCTGCTCTTTGTCTGGTTCTGGTTCACTTTCTTCATATAAAACAGTCACCAGAACCGGATCAGTCTCCTGCTTCAGGTGGAGCTGATCTTCATCCTGATTGGTGCAGAGCCCATCATCCTCTACTTTGATCTGTGGAAGTTCTGGTTCCTCCTGGTTCAGGCTGTAGTTCCTCTCCTGCTTGTAGAGCTGCTGGTCCTTGAGGATCAGTGCCTCGTGGCCCAATTCCTGTTGAGGGACTGAAGGACAAAAAGAGAAAAGTTCAGGGGTCAGGTTTATAAAACTGGCGTACGCACAATTTGAGCCCAGAAACTTGCGTACGCCACTTTTTACGCCAAGG